CGACAGTAGATGGGTGATAAATTAATTGATCATGTGCACCCATTACAGAAACAAATGTGATACATACAGCAATAGATCAGTGACGTGAAGTTGAATTGCAATGTGCAAAGAAGCTTCACTTGCATCACAATAAATGACAACTTTGCATCTACTCAATAAATGAAAAACATAAACTTACCAGTGATCCAACAGCAACAAAAGCCCGGAATTTGGAATCAACATCCACATTTTCATCTTCTATAATCTGGGGAAAATAGCATATCAGTTAGTACAGGAGTAAATCTTACGGATAAGGTGCTTAAATACCCTGGAAGTATCTATGAAAGAGTACCTAGCACTTGGAAAGTTTTTTTTTTAGCTCTTACATACCCTGAAAGTTTTATTTCGTAGTAAAAATACCCACCATTATCTGCCATAAGTTTGACTGTTATCTGCTTTAACGGTCAAACTCAACGGCAAATAACGACTTGGGACAGAAATGATACAAAATAAAACTTCTAAGGCATATAAAAGCCAAAAAAACTTCTAGGTACTGGATGCTTTTTCATGGATAGTTCCGAGGCATTTAAGTGCCTTATCCCTAAATCTCACCCTAACAACAAGAAATAAAATCATCTAAATTGGTCTCTCTAGTAGTTTATATGACCTAGAAATGCACAAAATGTCAAAAACCACACATTTCCACAGTCTGATTTCTTCCTTTATTGAGTATCTTCCCTAGGTAACAGTGCCAAACGTACCTCAAGTGATGCGGATAAAACTTGAGATTGACCTTCTAGATCTTTCATCTCAATCAACAGCACCACGTAACTGTGATTGTCAAATGAAACCAAAGGTTAGTACAAGCTTAAAACATCATTGATCCTTCTTCAGATTGCAATTCTAAAGTCTGTGTTATCAATGGTAGCCACCATGGCAGCCATAGCAGAGTAGCCAACAGTGCGTCAGCCCTGTTGCATCTTGTCTGCGGCAACAGTCAATTATGTTCCTATTGCTATGGCATCCACCAGCGTTCAAGTAACTAATTGTTTTTCACATTTCACAGTCAGCCATAGAAACTGTGATTATGTAAGGCATAAGGGTCATTTAACCCATCTAAGTTAAAATAAAACATGATAGACTAAAAGGAGTAAAGGCGATTCAATGCTGCTTTTGGCTCCTCTATGGAATAAAATTGATAATTAAAATCGATACAGAATACCTAAAAATCATGAGACGCTTTTCTTTACCTTTTCCACCAAAGAATGGCCTTCAGTTTTAGCTGAAATATATTTCAATTTTGTAATTTTTTTCGCAATATTCATACTTCTCATGCACCTTTTATAGATGTATAAAATAATTTTACATCATTCAAAAAATCGTCACATTGCTTCAGCGGTGGGTTCCATGCCAGATACCATGATATTGCAATTTGCAGTTATATGCCATTGACAACAATACTTAGAGCAGATCACCACAATGATGGAAATAATGGAACATAAACTGAGATCTTAACATGTCAAAAAACATGGTCTCTACTTCTTCATTTATGCAAGTTAACCAGGGCAAAGCATGGAGGAGGGCCAAGCTCCTAGAATTGCCCTCCCTTCTTCCTTTCCAGATAGGAGAAGTAAAATTATCCAATCACACTTCAAGAAATACAAAACAAGCACCAAAGTATGGTTGAACCTGAACAGAGAGAGTGCTTGTCTATAATTTGGAGTATATGCAAAATTTCTTAACCCTAGACATGAGAAATATACATTAAAAATGTGAATAAGGTATTAAGGTATATTATAGCAAAAATAAGCAACCTCTAATTACGTTCTATGATGCGTAGTCAAGAAAATATTTACTTAAGTAGCAAAGTAGAGTAGGACAGCTTCAGATTTTTGTTTGCTGATGAACTGCAGCTTGAGAAAGCATCAATAATCTGCAACCAACGAGCGTATTCACACAAATAATGGACTTGTGGTATCCCCATCACGGGGAACAGAAAAAAAAAAAAAATACAAAATCACAACATTCCTTTGGAATGAATCCTTTTCACTAAAAAGGGAAGAAAATGTTAAAAGATGGAACAGAACAATTAACTGCAATTATATAGTAAATTACACAATTTAATCAAACATGCCAAAAAAAAGGGAAAAAGACACTAAAATACTCTAAAAAAACGTAACAAAACTAAAGATCCCAAATTAAGGTTATGAATTTTAAAATATCCTAAATCAAACAATTTTTTTATTTCGGTGGCTACTTTCATATAGCTATTGGCTACTCTGGCTTAACTATTGACTACTTTTATTTTCAAAGTTCTAGTAGCTACTTTTATATAACTATTGACTACACAAAAGTAGTAAATAACTAAACAAAAAATAATCAATAGATCTCCAACAATACTTAATGCATTTTTTGAATTTGTGAAACAAAAGTAGCCAATAGTGAAACTAGAGTAGTCAATAACTAAACAAGAGTAGTCACCAAAATTTTTAAAATGAAAGTAGTCAATCGCAATACTAAAATAATCAGTAGCTAAACAAGAGTAGTCATCAGAGTTCTAAAAACAAATGTAGTCAATAGCTGAAAAAAATAGTCAATACATAAGATAGAGGAGTCACCAGAGCTCCGACAACCAATGACTAGAGTTCCTGTGACATGTCGCCAAAGCTTCGGCAGCTGGCCACCAGCAAGGTTGCCAGCGTCAGAGCTCTAGTAGTCAGAAGTGCTGAGGTGGCAATATTTTAAAAAAATAGTAAAGGGCATTTGTGTAATTTTACAAGTTTTTGAAAATTCCAAAATGGTACATAAATTGAAATTTTTAAATTAAATTGACCCACACTAATTTGTCCTTTAGCAATTTCTAAATATTTTATTGTCTTTGTCCCAAAGAATAATGGTGAAACTTATGCACATCATTATAAATAAAATAATAAAAAAATTAGCAAAATTTTCAAATAGAAGAATAGGCAGCACCATACATAAGACAAATTATATGCACCTTTTTCATTAAATTATGCTACACAAAGCACGCAGCTGCAAAAGTTACAAAGAAGAAAAACGATATAACCGAATATATTAACATCATTTTTCCAAGCAATTATTACCTAGTCCTTTTAAGTTATAAAAGAATCGCAAGAAGGGGATGCTAACCATGCTGCGATGTTTTTGCAACCAGCTGTGGTATGCCGAATTCTTAAAGAGATTAGTAACAGCTCGAACACTGGTCAACAGATTTGCAGGAATTGTTGGATTTGTCGTGGCTTTCTTAATAAATTCCAATAATATATCTGGATGCCAAAAAGGAGAAAGTTAACAAAGATTCCACCTCTACAGAAAGGGATGGGGGAAAATCAGCTATGAAACTCTAGGAGGCCTCCACACACCAAAAACACAAATAATTATAAACCATAGATACAATATGGCCAGTACAATTGGTTTGCGTTTTACAAGAAACTGTGAGAAGTAATGTATTCTTGACATAGTAAAGGTAGACGTGAACCAAAAATTATTATATTAAAAAATAGTGGTAAAACACGCACCATTTTCAGCTTCCAGATGCTTTAGAAATAGGTTGGCCCCATCTGGGTGAAGAACCATCATCCGTATAATATCAATAACTGCATAAGCACAGTAAAGAAGTTAACAAACTGTTTTTATGAAGTTCAATGAAATGGAATGGCAAAAGAGCAAAATTTCAGAAGCTAAATCAACTCACCAGGAAATAGCATGGCAATGGGCCACGACCTAAGCAATTTCAGCAACAGGGCTATATCAGCCTCAGCAAATGTACTTGAATGATAATGTGAAGTATCTTTCAAAATTTTAACAATGGCCCCCAGTCTGGGAACATCAAGCTCAGTCAAAACCAATTTCTGCTGTTCCTGTATGAGATTGACATAAGAAACGCATTACTCAGAGAACTCATGCATTCTGAATAGAATCACAACCGTAATAATGACAAGCAATGAGATTTCAAGTATGCATGCTAAAATATTCAGGTTTATTGATCTAGCAGAGTGTTCAATTTGAAGACTAACTTTTCCAGTTCCAAAGACGACAAAACAAGTTGACTGTTCCTAGGAGCTATAATCCTGAACTTTGAAAGACCATGAATAAATTAAACAGGAAGCAAGCACATATTCTGAAGTTTGAATATTAGCAGGTGGCTTGATATCTGTGATATGCTACCTCCTAGTGACAAAAACATTTTCTCCATTTTGTAACACAAACAACTGAGGGAAATTTTCAAACTGCTTAATCATGAAGATTACCTGGTTGGAGAGTAAAGAATTGTTAAATTCAGTAATCTTTTTAAGGATCCCATCAAACTGAGCTGTATCAAAAAGAAGCACCCCTTTCTGAAAGAAAAAAGGTACCATAAATCGGCTTTCATATTACAAAAAAGCTAGCTTGAAGAAGCAAAAAAGTAAGAAGAATTAAAATCAAATTAGCAACACAAGTTGCATTATCAAATCCAGTCTATCAAATAAAATAATCATAACGAACAACAATACAAAATTAATATAATAGCTTAAAGATCCAAGCAAATTTTATAGAGACTTGCTGCTCTATTACAACTCATGTTTAACTAGATAAAAATACTTGTATACAGAGCTACTATTTATAAAGATGATAACTTGAACTGTAATGTTTGTCATCATCTCATTATTTTCATATATCAATTAGTAATAATCATAACAATACTATTAACAATATGAACCCAGATGATAGAGCATAAACAAGTTGAGCATCAAGGAAAATTCCTGAACAGTGAGCCATCATCTAGTCTGAACTTGGGATGAATTTACAGCATAATAAATTTAAGGCCTCGCTGGGTAACATCTATTAGTCCTTCCTTTCACTAATGAGCAATACCCAGAAACATGTTATCCATGTAGTGAAGCGGAAAAAAATTTATACATAAAGACAGATCACAGAATTAGCATAGTGTATAATTCACAAATTCCTTTCTCAATATGCTATAGTAAAACACAAAATTGTTTTTAAAGACTAAAAGTAATTATAACTACTAAAGTAAATTGTATGAAAGCAAACCTTAGGGATATGCTTGAAAGTAGGTTTTGCAGAAACAGCTGACATCCAAGCAAGGTACAAAAAATTAAGTGAGAACTGAGTCATAAGGCACAGGAAAAACAATATTCCCGAGACAAAAAATTGATTATGGGCCTTGAGTGAGGTGAATTATTTTACCAGAGGATGAAGGTTGTCCAGGCATGTAAGCACTGGCTGAAACAGAATACAGGTTATAAAAAATCAAGTAAACAAGTTAAACTACAGGGATTTCATTTAAATAAACATCAGCTTTTGTTAAGCAGAGATATCATACTTACAGCCAGTATAGGGATCACGGAAAGATGCATCAAAAGTCATCTCCTTTTGTCCAGTATTTTGAAGTATGAACTGTACAATTTGCTCACGGAAGGACAGAGGAAGATTCTCCTTAAGAAGCCATTTGTCAGCAGCATCATATGGATTATCTAGTAGCATAAAAAATTCATTACTAATCACCAAATTATAATCAATAAATAATGTAGTTTTACTGATATTGCAAAAGCCAAACGGATATAAAGTTATCCTTTGAGACAGAAACACTTTAGAGATCACACAAACAGTAATTCTCTTTCTCACATGAAGTGTAAAATATTTAAATAGTCAAACCAAAATACTGATGTTCACATGAAGTGAAAACCTCATGATGAGCAGGAAAAAAGGTACCTGATCGGTTGTATGGCAGCTTACGGATAGGAAGACCATCTCCAATATCCACATCAAACACTGAGGAGGGAGATGGGTGAGCTCTGAGACAGGAGCGTGAAGAAGGTAAACCTCAACAAACGTGAAAGAAAAAGAAATGGGAAACTGACCATGGTCATAATGAACACCATCAAGGATAGGACGATTTGCATTGTCTGGTCCATCAACCACTTCACCAATCTGTAGAAGAATTTTATGCTATAAAAACCAAAGAATTTCGTTTTGAAATTCCTTATTTTATTTCAGAAACAACAGTTACAAATTTATAGGAGAATGTAGGCCGCAGAAGGTTCAGTCAAGCATCCTCAGAAGGAAACAAACATGAACATAGTTTTTTTTTTTGAATTTTTTTTGGAAAAAAAAAGAAGCATAAAAACTTGTAGACCAGGAAGAACATTCAACTTCAGCCTATTAACCAACAAAAAAATCCATGTGATTCTTGTTAAGAATGTGTGTACCAAATGCTCAAGAATCATGGCCGTTAACTAAGAAATATAAGGGAACAAATAAAGCCATTAAAGCCAGCAAATAAGTGCATGTCAAATATGCTTTCCCATAAAAACCCAAATGAAAAACCTTGCAAATTAATTCTATTTGGCACTGCAACTTGTGATTTGTGTGTGGCTAAAGTATCCTGCGGGTTAGGTGAAATATAACAATAAATGTCAATTTTATTTATTTCTCATTTCAGCTTAACTACGCTAAAATCTATTTACTTCTCTCCTAAAGTTTTGAAACTATCAAATTGTCAATATGTGCTCACTTTTCCTTTTATATTTTAAGCCTTTCCATAAATATCTCTTTATCTCATCCTTCTACAGACTTCCTAATTTGAGGTTCTGTCAGTGTAGCTAGGTGAATAATTCCATCGTAGACTTAGGATGTGATCATTACTATATGGCATGTGAATCATAACCAAACAATTGTTAAAGAGTGCAGATCTCTAAATGGTAATTACATTAAGGTAACCACTTCATAATACAACAAAAAGAGAGTAGACATATTGAGAAAATAGTACAGGGGAATCACAAGGCAAGAGAATCAGAAAGCCAAAAGCAAAAGTAGGGGCATTATAAGTGAGGGAAATACTTTGTCCCACTTCTGTTCTCTCATGTTCCATCCATATGCCACCCCATTATCCCCCTCTCTAACTACCTTTGTCTGGCCATCACTTGTTCCTGTTTGGAATCAGAGGACTATTAGAACATAATAATTAGAATGGAGAAAGAAGTACAAACTAACCCTGGATTGTTTAAGAAACTCTCAACATAGTTTATTGTTTGTGAAAATAAAAACAATGCCATGGCCACCATCTTAATTTGCACAATTTAAATTACAGAATAAAAAATATGCCTTGTTTTTGTCCAGGAAATTTTTCTCCTCGGCATCTCTTCTCTTTCTTAATATAATTTCTTCTTTTATCATAATTAAACTATAGAATCATAAATCAGTACTTAAGTCCTAAAACTGAGGTCTACAAGATTGTTGAATTTATAAAATCATTAAATTATTAAATTGTTAGATGTTAGATGCTATGGTGTATGTTACAATCTTGGCCTCCTCCACCGAGAAGGATGCTGAGAACTGAACATGGTATGTGGTATGCTTAAAAAATTAAAAACAAAAACAATCAGCTGACACAGACAAACTGTATTTGTACACATAAAAGGAGGAAAAGGAGAAAAAACTAAAACTAGACCTGGGATCTTTAATGCCTCCAAACCCGGTAACTCTTCCAATTTCAGTCCTCCAACCCTCTTTCTGGCAAAAAGAAACAGATATGGCTAAGTTAATGAGTAAGCCCGACAAAGCATATCCAAGCATGTCATTATCAGAAGAAGTCCCCGATTTATTTGCCAAGGACAGAAGAACTTTATATTTTCCATAATTCAATGATTTAAAAATCAAAAGCCAAACAAGGACAGCTTATGTGATAGGAAATACCATGTTAACAATTGCAAGGGCATGCTAGTCTCAAAGATAAATATTAGCAAAACCAGATTTGGACATCTGACAAACAGTCATACCTACTAGACTTGTATTGAGAAAGTTCTGAAGTGTATAAGTCAAGCTCAAGTGGGTCAGCGACATTTTCTTGATGTGCAGTCCAAATACGTACAGCTCCATCAGAACATGCTGTCACAATATCACCATTTTCTAGAAATTTGGCATCCCAAACACAACCAGGATGTTCTATGCTCTGAACACAAACGCCATCTGAATTATTTAAAGAGAGAGAAATGCAGTCAGAAAAATCCAAGAATCAGGAAGCTTAAGAGCCATGCAACAAATCTTCCAACGACACATCTCTATGACAAGGAGCAAGAAGCACAAGCAATTGCCTTTCCATATTTTTGCATGACGATCTTCGCTACCACTGACAATAAGTCCTGATGCATGTGAATCAACAGAATAAATAATTGCAGTATGACCAACCATCTCCATCAGCAGTTCACCACTTACTGCCCATAATCTAACAGACCTGTAACAACGAAACTCCATTTAAAAAATTTTAAAATGATGTGCTACAGGCACAACAGTAGATAATATATACTTATAAAGAATCAAATATTCAACATAAATAGAAGAGTTCATGCAGAAGTGAACCTACCCATCATGTGACGCAGAAAGAATTCCAAGATCAGACATCACAGCCAAACCTCGAACTGTATCTGAACATATGTCAAAAGAGAATAATCACTTCTAAAAGTCATGTAACTTTATGCTCATATAGAGAATAAAGAACTTGGTATAATACAGTATAATTGGTCTAGAAACAGAAAATCAAACCTGTATGTCCAGTAAAGGTACGTGAACAAGTTTTTCCTCTCCAAAGTTTTAAAGTTGTGTCACTCGAACCTAGAACATGTCAGAAGATAAGTTAAAATTACTTTACTACCTTCAGTCCCAGACTGGTTCAATAATTCAGTAATGATTATAATATCAGAGGAAAAGTAGTTTTCATGTAATGAGATGTGAACCCCTGCATGTACCTCAAAACACCATGAGTTTAAAGCTTGCTAAGAACCATGACTATAACCTGATAGATGAGATAAGGGTCTTTGAGATAAGGGTCTTGAAAAAATAAATTAACAACTAATGATACCTGTAACAAGCTCGCCTGATGGCAGCTTTATAACTGCTTGAATTGCTGCCTTGTGAGCCTCCCAATTTTCTAGAGGTTGCCCCCTCCTCCACCGTCTCAACATACTGCATAGGATGAGAAATGAAGATAAGAGAGCTAGAGAAGAAATTTTCATATACATTAGTCCAAAATCCACTGACATGATTCCAGCAGTAAATTTGCATAATTTGGGTTGTTGAAATTAAAAGGTGGAATAAAGAGAATCTAGTTGCTATCCTATGAGTAAATGGAAAACTAAATATGTGAGACGATGACAACTAAGTAACTCACTGACTAGAAGAATAGGATATACAAAGGAGTAGCAACCCAACAGATCACTCTAGGAACCAGCTTTAAGGATAATTTGTGCCCTCCCCAGGACCTTGGACTATGCTTAGTGAAACTGGCTTCTACACAAGCAACTTCCCAGAATAAAATCGTTGGAATCTAGTGTATGAGTTTGTCAACTGAAGGAAGTTCTCTTCATGAGCCCTCAGTTCCTCCCATGCCAGAGACAGGGCGACTAAGAAACTAACACTGGGCTTCTCACAAAACGCGTAGGACAGGATAGAAGAGTCAACACTCCTGTCACATATTATATAACTGTGTTACCCAAGCACTTAACAGGGAAAGCTCCAAAACTAGGATATCTTTTAACCGTCATATGTTTTTAGTTAAGGAACCCAGGGAAAATAAAATTTTACTCTCCTGATATCACTGGTCTTAAAAGAATAGATAAAAAATATAGTATGAGGATATAATATAATGGCTATAAGGGATTCTTTATGAATTATAACGTATTAGGGATTTAAGGCCTGTGAGATTGTACATGGATCCTCTCCAAATGTTTTGCAGCAAATATACCAACAAATACACTTTGAAGGAAAGCTGCCTAATTGAAATGCAAACTTCAACAGAAAATATCATAAAATTTCGTAACTCATATCGATGACATGCAATGCAACTTCCGAAAATAACCACAAGTGTTTTGAAGTTATCTGAACATGAAAGGAACGTCTCTATATAAACTAAAAGTCATCGGAAGTCGTAAATTGGGGGGGGGGGGGGCGGGGAATCTTTATAGTGTTAAATGCAACAAACTGGCGAACCACTTCATTTACCTACCAGACTTGATTACCCCCAACCTCCAATATGAACATCATAATCAACCAATTACCAGTCAACTGAGGAAACGACCATATGCAAACAATTAACTTCAACAACATCATAGGGAACGTGATGCATAAACCAAAAGGAAAAGAACGGATCAAATTTAAAACTCACCAATCAACAGAACATGATACGATATCCCCATCATCCAATGCAACGCCAGTAACCTGTAACTGGTGACCCCTGAGTGTCTGCACCTTCTCCCCCGTCTTCAAATCCCAGACCAATACAAGAGTGTCCATGCCTCCAGACACAATCCCACCCTCTGGATAGTCCTCATTCGGTGAAATCCAAGCCAACGGTCCAACAAAACTCGAATGCCCCAGCAAAACTTTTGAACATGAGAACTTGCGCTGGTCCGAAGAGTCTGGAGTCCAGAACCTAACAGTTCTGTCCCTAGAAGATGATGCAATGCCATCATTGCCACACACGCAAATTCCACGAACCTGATTTAAAAGGATGAACCAATTTCAGGAGAAAAAATATATAGAATTGCCAGGTCTAATCACTTTAAAATGAAGCCACTGAATGTCCACGAAAACCAAATTGAACACCCTATCACTAGATAAACGATGAAAATTCGAATGGTGGCAGATCTTACATCGTCTTCATGGCCCCTAAGTTCACATCGCAACTGATACGCCTTAAAATCAACCTCCATGAGTGAGAGCGATATTGGAAAGTTCGAAAGAGGATTGCTTTGCTTGCAGAGAAGAAAAACCGAGTTGAAGGTTAAGTCTCCGCAGTCACGCCGAACAAGCTAAAGTGACGACCATTTTTTCATTTAAATTTAAATCCATTTATAGTATAAAATATAAAAACTACTAAAAACGAGGGATAATTGAATTGTCAAGTAAAAAGATAATTATTAAAAAGTTTTAATAATTCCATATCAACCTTTAAATGACAACCGTTTTTTTATTATTAGAATTTATTAGTAATTTCTATATATATATGTGCCCTTCTTTTTCTCATTAGTGTGATTATCATTAGTTAATATTTTAAATAAGGTTAATATAAACTTTGATCCTCCAAATTAGTTAGGAAAAACCATATTGGAGGTACCTATACTTTCTCTCAATTTTTAATTTAGTACCTATATGTTTTTTTTCCTTTAATTAAACATTTAATTTTATCCTTTTTAGCAACATTAGCTCTTATAACTTTGTTCTATTGATATTTTTAGTCTCTACATAAGGATTAATGATGTTATTAGAACAAAATTAAAGATTTAGTTAAGAACGAAAAACACATAGGTACCAAATTGAAAATTGAGAGAAAGTATAGGTACCTCCAATATGGTTTTCCCAATTAGTTAATACAAACTTTGATTCTTCAAATTTACGCTTATTTTAGTTTTGATTCATTAAGTTTTAAACTATATATTTTGATTCTTCAAGTTTTTTTTATTTAAAATATTAGTTTTTATAATCTGATAAAAAATTGAACTATTTTGCCTCTTAAAGAGTTAAAACTTATAATTTAAAATTTAAAGAACTAAAACCAAAATGAAGACAAGCCTAAGAGACCGAAGATTATATTAATCCTATCAAATATAAAATTTTAAATTATAAAAAATGCATAAGTATAAAAACTTAACATAATGAATAATTATAATTATAAAGATATTGAATATGCGAGAGTACAGTCATATTTAGTTGACCTGCAAAATGCAAATGATGTGAAACTCAATAAAATACGTTATCTTGTCCAGAAATAATGAAACTTTGTATTGGTTCTTTTATTTTTATGAAAACTTTTAAAAGCAAATCCTCTGCTACGTTATACTGTGCTGTTTACGGAAAGATAAGTGGTCTTCACTTGTAAACCAATTATCGAAGCTTTATCGAAGTTTAATGCAAGATAAACTTTCTTAATATCAGAGCTTATGAATCAAACCATTGAATCTGCAGGTGTATACTTACATTTATATTAAATTTTAAAAAAGGTAGTCAACTTTTGAGCACTAACACGGACAAATATATCCTAATTTTAGCAAATAATATCTCTCGATTAAACACAAAATTCGGAAGAAAATTTATATTGTGCACAAAAGAAAAGAGCACTGACATCAAGAAGTTTTTCGCAGAAATAAAGTAGTCAAGAAATTTCCGGAATCTCTGGTAAAAAAAAAAAAGAAATTTCCGGAATGAAACTCAGGAGAAAATATAATTTTGTCAAAAACTATTAAAGAAAGCTGGAAACTACTAATTTTTTCGAGAACACTGGACAGTTTATGGAATCATGGCAAGCTTCGTAATTTCATGCATTTAGCAGGCTATTTTCTTGCGAAGTACGAGTTAAATTTAAGCCAGTCCCTTCATCCTCTGCTGTTAGCTTAGCTTAGCTTGGAACAGTGCACAGGGTATTATTGCAGAAGCATGGGTGTATAGACGTCGCTTTTATCCTCTGGAGCCTATCGCACCAATCACCTTGTTGGATTCTCCCTAGTCCTTACCAGGTCAGCTTCCTGCCCGCTTCATTGCGCTTTCTGATCTCACGATCTGCTTGGGGCCCGAGAAAGTGCTGGAAAAAAATGATGAAATATGGTAAAGAACAGAATGAGGTTTAAGTTCATTGTTTTTCTACCTTACCCCATAATGGCTGAATGCCTTTTGTAGATTCTTTGGTTTCCTCAACATTGCATGGGGTTACTGCTGTTGTTTCTAAATTTCGTACTTCCTTTTTAGCCAAAAACTCATGCTTTGAATAACTGTACTTTTTTTCCTGGGTTTTCTGGGCAACCATTAGGCTTTTTGGCCAATGGGATTTGATCCTATTTGTTCCTTATTCTTTAAGAGAAAATGAAGAAAGGAACTGTAAGTATCCTTGATGATGTTTGGTTAATGTCTGTTTTGTTATGAGCACAAGATCATTAACAGCTTCATCAGATATTACGTCTTTCGATGTGATTATAGTGTATTGGAAGGTGCAGTTTTATGTAATCGTACTTGAAGGAAATGGTTTCCGCTTGATTTTAGATATGCACTATTAAAATGCCTTATGGTGAAGCCCAAGAGAAAAGATCAAGAGGAAGGATGCCTTTTTAATCATGAATTTGTATAGATGTGTCCAAATAAGATGGAATTGAAATCCTGAAATTTATTTTTATTTTTTCTGTTATCTACAAATCAATCAATAGAACTATGATGGCAAAACCAGCAAGTACCTCTGGCATCATTAGGAAATTATGCCATGTGCTTTCCTGATTATGCCCGCAATAACAGTCTCCCGTCCCCAAGTGTCCCAGAATCGAAAGATTTTAACCTAACAGATGTAGGTAAAATTAGGATTTTTCTGGCCCTTCCCAACAGACTCATATTTACCTATCTAGGAAAATTGGGCTTTTCCATCAACAAGTAACTTCTCTTTCAGTTTTAATCTAATCGAGTGTATCTGTCTATGGGACTTTATCAAGGTGCAAAACTTCATGGGCCATTGTGACCATTTCTGCCATCATCCAATTCTTTCCTCTTAATAGATATGTCAATGCTATAACAAGTTATTTGCTTATTCATATTTTGTGATACTTTGCACCACTCATTTTTTTCCAAACTTTCTTTCTTCAGGGTAAAGATATGATGCCCTAAGCTTCTACTACCAGCTTTCAGTTTTGGTCCTATTTTTGCGAAACTTGTCCCATATCCATCTTTAACTGGATCACCTAGAAGGAAAGAACAGCTTTCAAAAACTTTGGTTGCATTGATGCTAGAAGCCTTGAATGGGGAGCTTTTTTTTCTCTCAAAGAAATTCAGCTGTATCAAGATAAGCTAGATGAGCTTTGTAATATACTGCATGCCATCCAAGAGTACTGATTCCCTGAGAAAATGATTAAATTTAATTATTCCTGAAGGACGTGACTTTCAAGAAACATTGTTACCTTGCCTTTGCAGTCTGTGATAATCTTTAGTAGCATATGGCGGCTCTTACTCCTGTACAGCATCACGCACTGACTCCGCTGAAAGTTTTAAGGGGTCTGGTGTGTCTAGTGGTGCTGTTTTCCACTGCATTTATAATGTTAGTGTACTTTGGCTTTACTAGTGCTGTTATAGTGCGACTATTTAGCATACATTACAGCAGAAAGGCAACTTCCTTTTTCTTTGGTGCTTGGCTAGCTTTGTGGCCTTTCCTTTTTGAGAAGATAAACAAGACTAAAGTCATATTTTCTGGAGACATTGTACCGTCCAGAGAACGGATATTGCTGATTGCAAACCATAGAACTGAAGTTGATTGGATGTATTTATGGGACCTTGCCTTGCGAAAGGGATGCCTTGGATACATAAGATATATTCTTAAGAGCAGCTTGATGAGACTTCCTGTATTTGGTTGGGCATTTCACATACTGGAATTCATCCCAGTTGAAAGGAAGTGGGAGGTTGATGAATCAACCATGCATAGTATGCTCTCTACTTTCAAGGATCCTCGAGATCCACTTTGGCTTGCTCTCTTTCCAGAAGGCACTGATTTCACGTAAGCCACTTGTCCATAGTTTCTTTTCTTTTTTTCCTATGTTATGGTTATCAACTAAAACTTGGTACATGTATATGCTCATGATGATTGTGATTCCCAGAATGAGAAGGCTGCTTGTATGTGATTAGATAGACGATAATGCAGCCAGCAGCGTCCGAGTGCAAGTTTGAAGGATGCTTATATATGTTATTATGTAATGAAGCATATTTAACTATGTAGTTTGTAGCATTCTGTTGATAGTTTCTGACCACTTTTCTGTTTCCTAATGTAGTGAGAAGAAGTGTGATCGGAGTCAAAAATATGCTGCTGAACATGGGTTACCCATTCTGAAGCATGTTTTGCTTCCAAGGACAAAGGGCTTCTGCACCTGCTTGCAGGAAATGAGGGATTCCCTGAATGCAGGTTGTTCTTTCTTTCTACCTCTAATTACTATTGAACGTTAGATGTAGTTGTTATGCTTCCTTTTTTAGGCATTCCTTTGACTTATACAAGAATTATGCACCACCTGGTCTCTAGAGATGACAATTTAGGCTTGACTTGCTCTGACCTGTTTGATAGATCTGAGCAGTATTTAGGAGTTCTCTTCAGAAAACTAAAGCACTCCTAACCTGCCGAATAACATAGAGCATAGCACAAAACATGGTCACCCTAAGTTTATGCATCAAGCTATAATTCCTTCTAGTTTGAACAGAAATACGTTGCCACACAGAAGTTCTAGAAGAAACAATACCATTTGAAAATGGTTTTATTATGAAGTCAAATTATTTTCTTAATTTGTTTTGAGGGGAGAAAAGACAGATATAAGACAATAGAATACTCCCAGCTTCAAGTAAGCAGTAGAAGGAAAAAAACCTCACGAGTCTATGAAATAGGTACTAGGCAAAATAAGAAGAGCAAGACAGTGCCGACCACTGCAGAATTGGTTCTGGACTATTACCATCCCTAGTAATCTCTTGTTCTTTTCATTTGCTGGTTTGGGAAAGTACGAGTGCCTGATGAAGCCGTAATATCTGTCTTGTATCCTTTAGCATGTATTGCAGAATATGTTATTTTTTAGTTCATGAATATGCCGCTTGATAGCTGCAGATCTTGAATTGCATTTTTTTTTCCCCTTTTCAATGATAAAGCATATGCAGCCCCTTAATGGCACTTATACGAAATTAGGAGAGAATACCAGTGCAAATATTTAAGTTGCTGATTCTAATAGTACTTTCTATTTGCCGAGGAATTTGGAAACAACCCTGTATATTCATCCGTTTCTTTCTTTCATAAACGTTTGTAAAATGATTGCTAGAAGTGCTTCAACTCTGAGTAAATTTCAAGTTTCTATACTGTTTTGATTTTAGTTTATGATGTGACCATTGGCTACAAATACCGCTGCCCATCTTTTATGGACAATGTCTATGGAGTGGATCCTTCTGAAGTTCACATCCATGTCAGCCGAATCTCCCTCGACAGTATCCCAGAGTCCGAAGACGAAATGTCGTCTTGGTTGATGGACAGATTCCGGATTAAGGACCAATTGCTGTCAAATTTTTATGGCCAGGGCCAATTCCCTAATCAAGTAACAGAAAAGGAGCTCTCTGATGTGAAGAGTATTTTAAACGTCATGGCCGTTATTATGGTAACTGGGACGTGTATGTTCTACATTTTCTCATCTGTCTGGTTCAGGATCCATGTTTCTTTAGTATGTGCTTATTTGGGCTCTGCTACCTATTTCAATATTCGTCCTCAGCCATTTATTTGAAATCATTCTATGATTATGTTGTTGTAATATGAACATTGTACTACTTGCCATTACATGTAATTTCATCCCATGGTTTTTGTATGGTTATAGAAGTGATAGGTTGAAATAAGTGCTCCAATGAATGGGTTATTAGATGATAAATTGAAAACGGGAAAGGGTGGTTCAAGCCTCTAGAGTTTTTGGTCAAGTTCGGTCAAGGTCCCTGTATTTTTATTTTATTTTTATTAAGGAATCAATCACTGAAGCCGTGACCAATTTCAGTTAAAATCTCCAGTGTGATCAAATATTATTGGCAAGTTAGTGATATGTTACTCCTAAGGACGTTGACTGACGTTGACCATAATTTTAAAGACTTATTAGAAAAGTCGCAAGGCTCTCGACTTAAGTTGACCTCTTCTTTCCCATTGAAAAATGAGGTTCAAGTTCAACTGCTTTGGTTTATCAAATAACTTAATGTCTTCAGAAATCATGAAGAATAAAATTTATCTTGGATATCATGGGTAGCGAGAGGCTAAATTTAGATATCTTTGCTAGAAGAATATTTCTGGTCCTAATTATAAGAATTAGTTGACTAATTTGAGGAGATTAAGGAAATAAGTTAAGTTAGTTATTTATAATAAATACGTATTGTCTTTTTTAAAATATTCTTACAATCAAGTTTATTGGTTAGAACTACTATTATTAGAGGGGCTATCTTAAAAAAATATAAGAGACAAAATAGATTGGGATTGTATAATTAAGACCAACATAAAAGTCAAACAAGGTTTTATATTAAGGACCGGAGGTAGTACATACATATTAAATATATATAATTATCATTTTAATGACGTCTAAGAAAATGTTGCAATTTATCTCTTCTTTTTATTTTGTGCAATCTGTCTCATTTTGAAATAAGGAATTGTGGATCGCGTAAATAGTAACGAATATTATTTTTAATTAGTGAAAAATGTTTGCAACATAATTATATATAATTAGGTACGTTAACCTGGGGCAAAAATGATAGAAACGTAAGGAATACGCCCCACCACACCAGGTCCCATGCTGGTTCTTAACTTCTTATAGGAGTTCTGTGCTGACAAAGTTCGTGGATCCGTATATATGTTTCTGGTCAAATTATTGAATATGAATATGAAAGTTTTGGTTACTCAAGTTAAATTTATATATTTAGAGTTTTTTAAACAATTTAATGCATGTATTTTTTTTATTTCTAATTTATCATGTAATTGATCTTATTATTAATAGTATTTTGAATTTACTTTTTTATAATTTAAAATTATTTTTTCTAATTTAAGTTTAAAATGTACATTGAATATATAAGCATTATCATTTATTCTTAAAGTAATTTATCTAACTTCTAAATTGATACATAATATAATGTTACACATAGATAATTTAAGAAAATCAATGTTAACTTCTTTAATTGATCTAAATTGGTTGAGTAAGTTATATAAAAAATGAGAGAAAGAGAGAGAGAGCATTACTAACATTAGAAAAGATACTAATTTTATTTCTTTGACAAAAACCATAACATTCAGCCATTCACCGAACAGAATAATTAAGTAGTAGGTGCCTAAATAATAGAATCAGTTTCGATGCTCATCACATAATATTCATCATTGTGATAAAATCTATACTATTTAAATATAATTTCAATAGTTTAAATCTAAAATTTTCAACTGATATTTTTAAATAAAAATATTACTTTTTAAAAAAAAAACTCATAGTTAGCCTACATTTTTTTGGATTATGTACCTATTAAAGAAAAATATTTTTCCAAAAACAAAGTTTAAAAATTTAAATCTTGACCATCCATATTAAAGTTGCATGGTTGGAATTTGATGAGTATAATGATACTTATCGTTGGAAATAATTGTTCTTTAAAGATATTGGCATTTTTTATACAAATTTTTTTAAAATAATTTCTATTCTATTTCTTCTCCCCTTGCTCTTCTTCATGATTTGAACAATGAAGGGGAAGAGATGGCAACCAAACAACCATTAAGACATCAAATCCTAGTTGTCTAAGGCATATTCCATTTTAGAAGCAATGCCATTGTCAAGCTATTCAAAGCTAAACAACTAAGAACCAACAACAAAAATCAATGAAAATCTTAAACAATCTACATTTCATAACCACAATGCTGTGAATGAACAACCAATTTCAGCTACCTTAACATACCGAAAGAATAGATTAAAATCCAGTTTCTTTTTATTGCCTTGAACATGAAAGAAAATTCAAATTTACTAGAATTCTGAGGATGGATCATCTTCAATTGTGAGGATGCTTTATGATTCTCTGGAGAACTACAGTCCTGGCCCTCCTTATGTCACGGCTACACACATCAGCTTGGACTCCTAATTCTTCAACATTCTTCATAAACACCCCAAGCTTCTTCTTAATCTCCTCTATTGCAATCTTCACTGCTTCTTCTTCAATGGCAAAGTCTATACTACGCAGTAAAGACTCAATCTGAATCTCCAATCTATCAACCAGAACTCTGATATTATCCAAGTCCTTGATTGCTACATAAGTCCCTACCTGGATTGAGCTAATCACTTCCTTCTGTCCCTTCAGTGCATTCTCATAGTTTTTCCAAAGAGAATCAATCCATTTTCCCATTGTCCCAATTGGGATTGATGTTGCAGCAGCAAGAGCAGACGCTACCGGTGGAGCAGCCACGGCTGCTGCCACAACTGAGCATATCAGAACGGCAGCAAATGTAGCAACAAATATCATACTGGTCACCTTCCTCCATGTGTGGATAGATTTGAGCTTCTTATCAATCTTGCTTTTTCTTACTTGAAGCTTCTCAAGCATTACCATTTGCTGCTTATAAACAGACTGAAAGATTTGAAAGAACTCTTCAGTAAAAGGGTCACCAGCTGCTTTGAAGTTCTTGAGCTCTTGTAGTGTTTTCACAAAGCGATTGTCTCGTAACTCTGCTTCTTCCTCAAATTGTTGCAGAGCCACCAGGATAAGAAGCTGGCCATCTCTAGCTCGCTTTAGGCACTTCTCCAACGCAGCACAGAAATCTAGAGTCTGTAAGCTATTCTCGAAGTACTCTTCAACTAGATCAAAGAGTTCTTGGCTCTTCCATATGTCTTTCTTGCATTCCAGAATCACTCTAACAACTTCCTGGTTCATCTCCAGAAGGCACTCCGTGACTTGTTTTAGAGATACAAATGAAAGAGCTCGAACGTCAACGCCATCTGCAAGAGTGTTTATGACTTGATTTGTTCTAGCATGAAGTGTTGTGTCGAAAGATTGCAAATCAGCATCAAGCTTGCAGGCAGCTTCATATGAACTCAGCTCGGTTGTATAATGCATATCAGTATTGAAATTGATTGCATATGATGTTTCAGGGGTCCTCTTGCTCATATGGCTCCCCATTGCTTCAAAGGAAATCTGATCATACAGAGAAATAGCAGAATTAAGCTTAATTCAGAACCCCCTTGTGATTCAACCAAGTGATTTCTGGTCAATTTCTTAGAATGAAGAGAGAAATTTGAGGGGCAGAATCTTAAACCCGAAATTTGACCTCACAAGATAACCCCAATATGACAATTGAACAAACAGATGAACGCTATCCGATATATTTGTATGAATTCACAATATCAGAATGAACACAGACAAGCACAAAATCTCCAGATACTGAAATGAACGCGTGAATGAACAAAGCTCGTCCAGATAGAGATTTTGAAAAGTTTAAACCTAGGAAGATTAAGAACAACCCTGTTTGACAAATAGATGAATGAACGCTATCTTTTATATTCGGATAACTCTAACATCATCATGAGCATAAAGACAAGCACAAGATCACCAGATATTGAAATGTAACAACAAGTGGATTGAATCAAACAAACCCAGACAGAGAGCTTTCGAAAGTTCCAACCTTGGAAAGCGATTGGTGAGGAGAAAATCCAAAAGAACGACAAACAAGTTCGTTGGAGCTAACTGGACGGGTTCTTCTTCTTTCGTTTTCTCAAAAGAGGAAAGTGAGATAAATGAACTTGAGGTTGAAGGGGAATGCAGAGTCTTAAAGATATTAAGGACCGGCAAGGACCAGGAAATTTTTTAGGGGTGGGCTGAGAGATAGATTTGAGAATCGCTTGCACGCATGAGAGAAATGAGGGTAATGCTGAAGATGGAAAACGCGGGAAGCAATACCCCTTTATATTTCGGCCAAAACAAAAAATACCCCTTTATATTTTTCTTTCTCTAGAAATCTTTCTCTTATACACTGTTCAGTTCTAACGCGCAAAGCAACGATTATCCAAAGAGAAGGGAGAAGCAAGCTAAGCTCAAGAACATCAGCGTTCAGATTTGAGACATAAGAACACACAAACATGGATGAAATGAAACAATCTGTTATTTTGTTTCCAGAAGAAGCTTCGAAAAGGAATGGCGTCAGCATCCAATTTTTTCTTTAAAATTTTTGTATTTGCCAAATTACTAAAAGACCCATATGGCCAGACGCTTTGGGTAAGCTGAAACAGAAGCAAACAAATAATTAAATAATTGATTGATTAATTATTGGATCTAACTTCAGCCTGAAACATCAAATACTTCTTGAAATGCTATTGCGAAGCTTCCAAACAAGTCCTATCGAGTTTGGACGCCACCGGCAGAGAGAAATCCTCAAGAGTTCCCCGTTGGGGAGGGTGTAAAAGGCAGAGCATGATATTGAAGGAAAAAAATCAAAATAAAGAGAACAAATTTAGTATTTAAGATTCTTGTTTCCATTATTGAACAAGTTAAAATTGTAAAAATGTATGCATCCATGACAAGAATGTTAATCTGAAAGTGTTACTTGAAAGGATTATTTCAGGTTAATTGATAGCATCAAGAGAACGTAGATTTTTTTTTTTTTTTGCACGAGGGCCTACTGCCTAGTTACTTGCTAACTAAGACATTGTAAGCAATTTAAATTATGCTGGCAAAAAAAAAAAAGTAAGTAATTTAATTATACTCGACCAAAAACTTGTTCGAATCATTTATCATTAAACACAGCAACAATTTACATCCAACAAAATCTACGAATACGTTCTTTATTATCTGTCAAATATTTATTTTTAGCTGCTACAGGTATTTTAAAAAGAATATAGATTCTTCATAAGCTGAAAGGACGTTCCTTTTTTAAAAAAAAAATCCAGATATAAAGTTTACATATACATAGTATTTTCCTTTCTTTTTTCAAACAGTTTATAGTACCGGTTGCTGGTTTCGAATTTATAAAATGCACAAGCTCAGTATATATTTTGGTACCGTATTTGTTTTGAATTTTTTGAATAAATTTATAAGATAACTTTTTATTACATTTATAATTTTCTTAATCAACAGTAATTAGTCCAAGCAGTTTGATGCCTCTTTATATTAAAATTTAAAATCCATATGATTTTTTTTTAATAATTCTTTGGACCGCAGCATCCAATGCTTTTTCTGAATTCTATTATCAGATATCCAAACAACCAGCTAATCCGATTTAACTTAGTTCATATTATTTAAAATTTAGCATGGCTGCCTGAGACTGATGAATATTTTAATACAAACATTCGTTATTTGATTATGGAGGTAACAACGTAAATAGGGGCAGAAGCTAAGTGAGGGCAATATTAAGATTTCAGGGGGTGAAGATTCCTTCTGCCTGTGGAAATTGGGAACGGAGTTTGATTGGAAGTGGAAGTCATTGTTATTTAGGGGGTGTTTGGCTTTTTTGCCAAACCATGGTTTGACAAAAAATTTGCCAAACACCCCCATTTTTTTTAAAACCAAGGTTTTGCCCAACAAAACCTTGGTTTTAGATAAGCAGGCGGAGGGACAATTATGAGCCACGGAGGGAACAAGCACGCAGGGGGGACTCATTCAGCACGCTGGGGGGGTGTATTCATTCAGCACGCTGGGGGGTGTGCTCAGGGGTATAATTATTTGGGCAAAATAAATCATTTTTTAAAAACATATTTATTTATTTTATTAATATATATACACACTAATTTCTTATTATTTATATTATTTATGCCATATTTATTATGTTGTCAAAATATATATTATTAATAAATTTATTACTTCAAATAAACATATATTATGAAATATATATTATATGTAATTATCATTTAAACTTATGTCCTTTTTAGTAATTTCTACATATCAAAAAGCACTTCTGACAATAATTATCCAAACACTCTCACTTTATCAGAATCACTTTTCCAGAAAATCAATTCTTTCAAAATCTATTCTCTCCAGAATCTATTCTCCAAAAGCTATTCTGCAAACCATGGTTTTGCCTTATCCAAACACCCCCTTAAAAGGCCAAGCCAAACAAATCCTCGTGCTCCAAAGTCCCAAGTCCGCTGCTTTTGTCAACGGAATACCGGCCCCATTCCGCCTCTGCCATGTTCTCCAGATGACGCGTGTCACACTGACGCGTGTTGCAAATTTATCGGTCGCAACTTTTAGGGGTGTTCCTAAGTCCTAACAGATTCCATGCTACGTCAACCGACCCTTTCCCTCGCGTGATGTTTACGCTCCGCTACTCGCCGCCGCACCCCTGCCCCACCCCGGCATAATCGGGTGTTCTTTCCTTGGATGAAGCCTCGGCACCGAATTGTGGCATAGTGCAAGTCTGGTTTCCTTGGCCTTTAAGACGGAAAAAACTGTATTATTATAATACTACCTTCGATCCTTAATATAAAATCTTGTTTGACTTTAAGTTTAGTTCTAATTATAAGATCATAATCTACTTTGTTTCTCATATTTATATATTTTTTTCCCAGATAGTCTTTCTAATAGTAGTAGTTCTAACCAACACACTTGATTATTAAGGATATTTTAGGAAAGACAATATTTATTTATTACAAATAACTAACTTAACTTATTTTCTTAATCTCCTCAAATTAGTCAACTAGTTTTTATAATTAGGACCGGAGGTAGTATTACAATCCCTAATATAAGAGTTAATTAGTTCTGTAAATATAAGATCTCAATTCACTGTTTTTTTATTTATCTATTTTTTAAAATTAATTTTTATAATAATTACACATGTTAAAGATTCTATCAAAGGTAATTTTAACTAATACATATGATTAATAAAAATATTTTAAAATAGACAATACCTATGTATTATAAATAACTAACTTAATATACTTATTTGATTTATTCAAAAGATGGGAGGTGGTATTTGACATTTGATTATACATTGGGACCATAATCCAATTAAACTTACATTTTATGTTAAAACACGCATCAGCATTACATTGTTTTAAAAAATATGGATGAAAATGTATTGTTCATTTTTTTCCCTTGTATTCTAAATTCTCGATAATTCTTAAAACAGCTTGTTGGCAAGTGGAGCGGTGGTGAGAATTCAGCGCCCTAATTTTATTTTATTTTTTACATGTTTTTAGCACCTCAATGTTACTTTTCTAATACATCCACTGATATATTATAAATAAGACTAGACTGTTGAATATACAGGAAAAATAACATTATGATGCTAAATATATCATAAAATAAATTATGATGCTAAATGCATCTAAAAACGATCAATATGTTGGATGCAACTTTATTTTAAAAAAATAAATATCATATGCAATAAAAATGATTTTTATATTTTGTATCATATAAATTTATTATTATCATTTTTTCAGAGTAAAGTGCATTTAACATACTAATCTTATTTATCAAGTGCATCCAGCACTCCTAATGCTTTTTATGATGTGTCCAGTACCATGATCTTATTTTTTGTTCATCTACCAATATAAATTTTTTTAATCTGAAATACCAATATAAAAACTAAGACATTAGATATAATTAAAAATAATAATATCAAGATGCTGGATATAATCAGAAAATAAAATCAAAATACTAGACCTAAATAAGATCAAGATACTCAATATACCTAAAAAATAAGATCAGGGTGGTGTTAGGTGCAACCAAGAAAAGTACAAACTTGTCTTGTATCAATTTCTCATCTTGTTTTTTAGCCCCTGCCTACCAAACATAATAGCGTTGGATGCCTACAGGATATGTATCCGAATTAAATGTGACGGGGTCATCAAATTTTATATTTTCCCGGTTTGGGTATCTAATATGCAGGCATTAATTGTGAATGTGATAGGGACAAAAGTATTAAATTTGAATTTTGAAATATCATCATTCGATGTATATACATTGGGACAGCGTATCAATCTATGTCTTGATGATTTTTCTTTTTACAAGTTATCTTAGTCTTTATAGTACTCTTTCGTTCCTAAATATATAACTCATCTTATATTGAAATTTACACTACAAAATAGATTTTATATTTAAGCTCAGAGCAATAAAACAATCTTTTTTAGAACTTTTTTAAAAATAGAATCTCTTAAATGAAAAATCATATAACTTTGTTTTTTTTCTTTAAGAAGAATGACACGATGCTCATACAACTTGATAAAAAAAAAGATACTCCTCTGACCTTAAATATAAAACCTATTTTTTAGTGTAAAAACAGGTTTTATATTTAGGATTGAAGGAAGTATTATATATCAGTATTATGTGTGCAGGATAACCACCAAATAATAAAGATTTGGTCCATCACCCATAAAATTATAGATCCATATCTCATTAATGATGTAAAAACATTATTGGGGAGCAATCTATAACTATCTTTATACGCATACTTTAATCTTGGAAATATATGTCCCAGCCCCAATAAATTCCCATACCCAACTCACTTAAGCTTCTCTTTCATTTAAAAAAAAAAAAAGAAGAGAGATTATTGGCATGCATGGGGTCAAATTAAACTTGGTGGGACCATTAATTAGGCCAGCGTAATTTATTTAAAGGTTAGGAATGACGTATTGGCTTCGTACTCATAACGCATCTATACACAGAAGCAATACACAATACAAAAATCTAACGGATCAGTCAAAAGGGGAAAAAGATCAAAAGCAAACGTCCCAGATGGGTTGACCAAAAAAGAGAAACAGAACCATTTTACAAGATTGAGACCAACGTACTACTTCCGGTCTTTAATATAAAACTTTATTTGACTTTTATTTTGATCTTAAATATAAGACTCCAATCTACTTTGTCTCTTATATTTATGCATTTTTTCTCAAGGTAGTTCTTCTAACAATAGTAATTCTAGCCAATACAATTGATAAGCAAGGATATTTTAGGAAAGACAACACCTATTTATTACAAATAACTAACTTAACTTCTTTCCTTAATATTCTCAAATTAGGCAACTAGCTCTTATAATTAGGACCGGAGGTGGTACTCAACTCTTAAAAACACCACTAATAAAATTGCAAGTGAACAATTTAATATCCTATGAAAAAGGAGTAAGAGATCATTACTTGCTGGGAATTACTTCCTGTTTGAACATATTCTTAAACACGTGCTCTTTTAATTAAATAACTTCGCATAAACTTTGTTAAAGGGATTTTCTGACCATATATAAGATACACGGGACATTTTATTTAGTCTAATTTAGTTTAATTAATACTCAGGGTTCAAGATTAGGCCCATTATTATCTGATCTTAGGAGACTGCATGGGGTTCAGATTTCAGTGCTTCTCACGTCTCGCTCTGTGTCCATTTTTCCCCCCGGGGGGGGGGGGGGGAAGAGGTGGGCGTTGGGGGTGACTGGTTAAGCTTATCTTTCCATTCAAATAAATATCTTTACGATGTTGTCACTGGAACTACCCACACATACATGTTTGTTCGTTGTCCAACGTTATCACTTAATTACGTCTATGACTGTATTGTGATGTCAGGTGGTGATGTCTGTGTTTTTTCCGGTTTGCTATCAACCCAAACAAAACAGAGAGAGAGAGGTGGGTGGCTCATCAATATCATCGTGGCTCTGTATAAAAGAAATATTTAAAGACGTGCATGCAATGCAAGCAGAGAATATAGGAGCAACATATATATATATATATATATATATATATATAACTTTTGTTTTTGTTTTGGGTCGACAATAATTTTGTTTTTATACGGATTGTTCATTTGAAAAGACAAGGGATGGGTTGGCTAGGGGATGCAAATTTATATATTTTCTCGGTTGTATTTATAAACTTCAAATTTAAAAAATAATGCAATTCATTTTATAAACTTTAATTTGGGTTTGTTTCAATTTGATTCTTAATTATTTATTCTCTCTTCTTTTTTTATCACATTTATCCACATATTTTCTTTAATATTTTTTCTCATTTCTTATAAAAGTATATATGAAAACATAAGTATATTTCTAACTTATTTATTGTTTTTAACTAGTTATTTATCATCTGTGAATTAGTTATTTGAAACTTATAATAAAGACCGGACGGAGTATTTAAAATTATTATATATAATAAATAGAGGTAAGTGGAAAGGAAGATTTGGGGAGGGGTTGGTTAGGGGACAAGGCCAAAAAAGGAAGATTGAGCCTTGTTCAGTGTTCTTTGCGTTAAGCTAAAGAAATTTAGAAGTTCACAATGGATAGCACGTTGGTAAATACTATTCATCAGATCTGTACTTTTTTATATGGGCACGTCAGGTGGTTTCTTCTTACATGATTATATTGCAAATGGAGTTACTAATTAGATGTGAATGAGTGAAAGAAGCAAGGCTAGGCTTAATTTAACTACAGACCCCGAGGCCGAAAGTTTCTTCCCTCTCTAATTTCAATATACTACCTCCGGTCCTAATTAAAGTTTCTTCCCTCTCTAATTTTAGTCCCGTGTCCCGTCCCGTCCCGGTTTTGTCCCGGTCCCGTCGGGACCGGGACGGAACTGGGACGGGACGGGACGTCCCGTTCCCCTCCCCCTTTTTTTTTAAAAAAAAATTATAATTTTTTATATGAAATTTTTTTATGTTATAATGCTTATTTTTTGTTAGGCTTCCAAAGATAAAAACATTATAAAAAATATTATGTAAAAAACTCAATTATATAGTATAAAAAAGGTGTAAAAATAATACTGTAAAAAAAAATACGATAAAAAAAACACTATATAATGGCTTTATGAATTATTTTATTGAGGAAGGAGATATTGTTGAGATAATATTACAACTTAAGAGTTAAAAATCACTATAAAAATAATTATTATTATTAATAAGTAAATTGAATAATCTAATAATAATTATTAATAAATAATTTTTTTAAAAAAAAAATATCCCGGGACGGGACGGGACGGGACAACCCCGTCCCGCGTCCCGTCCCGTCCCGGTCACTGTCCCGTCCCGTCCCGAAATTTTTTTTGTCCCGTCCCGTCCCGTCCCGAACTCACCGGAACCGGGACGGGACGACCGGGACGGGACAAATTGAACACCCCTAATTATAAGACCCAGTTGACTAATTTGAAGAGATTAAGGAAGTAAGTTAAGTTAGTTATTTGTAATAAATAAATGTTGTCATTCCTAAAATACCCTTGTTAATTAAGTGTATTGGCTAAAATTATCATTATTAGAAGGACTATTTTGGAAAAATATATATAAATATGAGAGACAAAATGGATTGGAGTCTTATAATTAGGACCAAATAAAAAGTCAAATAGGATCTTATATTAAAGACCGGAGGTAGTACATGAGTAAGTTAAATCCATGGGTTATCGGAGTTTTTGAGTCAAGCCATTATTTCTTCGGTCAGAGAATTCGGTGCTTCACGAATAATAAATTCATGGGGGATTGGGGAGGGAGAAATAAAGTGTGTGTGTGTGTAATATCTCTTCGAGGTTGTCCCTTGAAAGAACGCATATTTGTTGATATTATACTACCTTCGGTCCTTAATATAAGACTACATTTGATTTTTATGTTAGTTCTAAATATAAGACTCCAATCCATTTTGTCTCTCACATTTACTCAATTTTTTCTAAGATAGTCCTTCTAATAATTATAGTTTTAGCCAATATACTTGATTAATAAGGATATTTTAGGAAATATAACACCTATTTATTACAAATAACTAACTTAACTTCTTTCTTTAATTTTTCCAAATTAGTCAACTGACTCTTATAATTAAGACCAGAGGTAGTGTATGTATAACGCATATTGATTATATTCCTGAGATCTTTAGTGTTGATCGAAGGAGGCGATGCAACTAGATTTTTAGGTTGTAAGCTCTCTGGATGATAAATTTAACTGCCAAGTTCTTAGTTTTGTGCTTCGCTCAAAACCCCATCCTCCTTATACTACTAAGAAGCTACGTACTCTTCCAGTTTTTAATGTAAAACATATTTAACTTAAATTATAAAAGTTAGATAAGTTAGTTAAAGTTAGTTAATTATAAGGAATATGATATATTTTTCCTAAAACATTATAATCATCTTCCTTAATATCTTCTCTCCATCTTCTACTTGATTATAGTTGAAAGAGTATCAATAGGGATCATTTAAAAAATAATAATAAATATAAAAAATATGTCTCACACGTAGAACCAAAATTAACTCAACAATTAAATTTTATATTAAAAACTAGAAGAATCTTATGGATCAACCTAAAACCGAATACACTTTTGCACTTATGAACCAAAAATTTTCTGATATACTTACTTTATATAGCTTAAAATTAACTCTCCACAACTAATATTAATCCAAGCGGACGCTAAGGCATCTTTTAAGCCTGTGGGCTGTGGTGGGATGGAACAGTAAGGAACACGATTTCTTGAGGTTTGAGCCACAATCTCGTCCGTGAGAATCCGGTGCTTAACAATATGCAAATACTCACATGTTGGTAATAAAAAAGGTGACGATTACACGTATCCATCATTGATACACAAAATAGTTACAATTATTATATAAAAAATCATAAAAGCAGTAAAGGAGGGGTAAATCCAAAGCGTTCCCGTGATACACTGGTCCCTCCTATGCGCCAATAATCTAATGCACAATAATGCACATATTTTACTCTTTTATTGCTATATATAGGCGAAGTTGATCATGAATATATTGTCCCAGAGGTTACGTTGAGTCTGTATAAACAGGCTTCACTCCATTCTCGTCCCCAAACCAATACAATACACGGAGAGATGGAAGCTTACAGGTACATCAAGAAGGTGGTAGTGATGGTGGGGTTATTGTTGATGGTGATAGGCATGAACGTGGCGAGTGGTGAAGGTCTGTGCAGGATGACACCGGAGGGGTTGAAGGCGTGCCAGCCATCGGTGAGCGGCCAAAACCCTCCGCCGCCGACGAAAGCTTGCTGCTCGGCTCTCTCAAACGCCGACCTCCAATGTCTGTGCCGTTTCAAAGGCTCAGGCTTCCTCTCCTTCTACGGCATCGAACCTGACAAAGCCATGGCCCTCCCTCTCCGCTGCAACATCGTTCAATCCTCTTTCCACTGCTAGTTCACTCACTTCACTCTTCATGTTCAGTCCTCCTACCAGCTCTGCCTACTCGTCTGGCTCTAAGCCTTGCTTGTATAATTACTAGTATTGTTCTTGTTTGATTTTATGTTACAAGTGATTATCATTTTTCAGTATGCTTGTTTGTCTTCGTGCGCATGTTTTAATGTTGTCGACTGAGGTTTGGCTTCTATTTAAGTTCTGACGCTGGCTTTGCACTTGAGTTTGATTGTAAATGAAGCTTCCTGCGAGTTTCCCTCGTTTGGAATTATCTTTATTGTGTTTTGTTGGAAAAAGCATCTTTCAGGACAGTATTGCGGGGCTAATCTTCTTTCTGAAAAAACATAATACCCTCATTCTAATTATAAGAGCCAGTTGACTAATTTGAGGAGATTAATGAACACTACTACAAAAAAGAGTATTCACGACGCTAATTCACGGCGGTTATTAGTAAAAACGTTGTAAAAAATATGACGGTGGCATTTCTGTAATTATAAGCGGACTTTTAAAGGCGATTTTTTAAATAACCGCCGTAAAAAGTCTATAAAAATTTTAAAATCCATCGCGCGATAGTTTTCACTTTTCAGAGTCAGAGCTCATAGTCCCCCATACCACATCCTCACTCGATTTTCTCCCTCCTCCTATATTTGTCGGCGTTTATCCATTGCCTCTATCATTTCCACCATGTTCTTCCATCACTGTCGCTGTTGCTGTTGCCGTCACCATCGCCTCATCCTCTTCATTCTTATTTGTGAGTTTTTCACCTTCATTCTTTCTGTGGATTTTGCAGTTTTTGTGGTTTGATATGATTATTTTCTTTAGTTAAAAATAAGATGCTTAATCTGAGTTTAAAGAGATCTGATTTTTAGCATATCTGAGTTTTTGATTTTATCAAATCTGAGTCTTTGATTTTACCTTTATTAAATCTTAGTTGTTTCGATCTGGTGGCCGAAAGTGAAGCTAAGTGACTCTATGAAGGTAGAAAAGAATCTATATTTACTCCATCAGAATGCTTTTAACTAGCAAGAGATTTCCTTTGAGGCTTTGTTCTCCCGTTCCCTCCTGATCAATAGGATGAAACGTAGCTTAAAGGAATAAAAAATTTTCACGGCAGTTATTTATATAACCGCCGTGAAATCCTTTACATTTTACGTTGATAGCATAGACATCGCTCTCAAAATCGCCGTAAAAAGCTTATTTTAACCGCCGTTAAATGTATTTTTTGTAGTAGTGGAAGTAAGTTAAGTTAGTTATTTGTCCTAAATAGGTATTGTCTTTCTTAAAATATCCTTGCTAATCAAGTGTATTGACTAGAACTATCATTATTAGAAGAGCTACTTTAGAAAAAAAATGTATAAATATAAGAGACAAAGTGGATTGGGCTCTTATATTTAGGACCAAAATAAAAGTCAAACAAAGTCTTATATTAAGGACCAGAGGTAGTATTTGAAAAAAGGTATAAATTTGCAAGTCATAATATTATTTACTGATATATTAATACATTCATAATACAAATTATAACTATTTTGAGAAAATCATCCTATTTATAAATGGATTAAATTTGTACAAAATATGGGGCTCAACAGAGTACCTATTCGGAATTCATATGAAGCGACACTTCAAGCAGTCAAGATGGAATGACTCATTTAGTTTCATCTCAAGATTCAAAATAACTTACCATTTTTTTTTTAAAAAAAACTAAAGCATAAGTATCCTCCTATTAGAAGTAATCCTATTTGAGATATTGTCGGGCACTAAATATAGGCATCTCTCTCAACAAAAATTCGAATATTGATTCGCTACATTATAAGGGATTAACCTCTTCTACTAGACCTAACCTCATTGGTTAAATAACTTGTCTTTTTGGGAGAGCCACTATTGGTATTGCGAGCTATGGACCAGTACCTCTCATTTTTCTTTTGGCAACCTTCAAAAGTCCTTCTAAGAAACACTTTTTTGTAAAATGAGACAAATCTCTCCACATATTTACTTCGTAAACCGTAAAAGTATTTTTAAAATCATGATTTGATTTCTATCCAATCACGTATTAAATCTTTCTGCGTTTTGCTTCCACCACATGATGGCATTATGAGCCTGAATATCGGACAAGATTCACATTCACAATGAATTATTCAAAGCCCAGAAAACAAACACAAAATCGATGCTGTTATCAAAGTCCAATATTGTCGGGCAATGTTGAATGACTTGGTAAGGCCTCGATCAGCTTAAAGTTCGCGGGCTGCTTATTTGTTCCGCATTCCGGTTCGGCCACTAGTTGAGTGACAACTAACATGGGACACTTTATAGCATTAACTGACAAAAGCTTTTTTTAAGGAAAAATTACTCCCTTCCCGATCCCAAATATAAGAAAACTTATTAGAATTCCAAAGATGAAATTTAGTCCTAGCATTTATATCTTGATGATTTTTCTTTGGCTAAAGTATACTTCTAATCCTTTAACTTTACACAAAGTCTTATTTTGGTTTCTTAACTTTAAAAAGTAAATGTTTAGTCCTTTAATCTTAAAACTGTTAACAAAAAATGATAATAAAATGAAACATTACTAAATACTAACATATTAAATTTAATATTCAAAATAATCATGACTGTTAAAAAAATCATCATTTAAGACTAATAATTTTAGAATTAAATGATTAAAAGTATACTTTTTAAAGTTAAATAACCAAACTGAAACCTTACAAAAAGTTAAAAGACCAAATATATACTTTAGCCTTTTTCTTACAAGTTATCTTAGACTTTACACTATTCTCTCGATTTTAAATATAAAACTCATTTTATAGTATAATTTATACTACATAATAAGTTTTATATTTAGAATCAAAGCAATAAAACAAATCTTTTTTTTTACACTTTTTTAAAAATAGAATCTCTCAAATGAAAAATTCATCTTAATTTGTTTTCTTTTCTTTAAGAAGAATGACACACTGCTCATATAACCTGATAAAAAAAAAAGGATATTACATATATTAGTATTTGTATGTGCAGGATAACCAACAAATAACAAAGATTTGGTCCATCACCCGTAAAATTATAGACCCAAATCTCATTAATGATGTAAAAACATTATTGGAGAGCAATCTACAAATATTTTTATGAGCATTCTTTAATCTTGAAAATATATGTCCCAGCCCCAATAAATTCCCATACCAAACCCTCTTAAACTTCTCTTTCTTAAAAAAAAAAAAATTATTGCATTCGTGGGGTCAAATTAAACTTGGTAGGACCATTACTGAGCCCAACTTTAATTTATTTAAAGGTTAGGATTGACGTATTGGCTTCGTACTCATAACGCATCTATATACAGACGCAATACATAACACAAAAATCTAACAGATCAGTCAAAAGGGGAAGAAGATTAAAAGCAAACGTCCCAGATGGGTTGACCAAAAAAGAGAAACAGAACCATATTACAAGATTGAGAGCAAAATGCACAACTCTTAACAAGTCTTAAAAACACCACAAATAAAATTGCAAGTGAACAATTTAATATCGCGTGAAAAAGGAGTAAGAGATCATTACTTGCTGGGAATTACTTCCTGTTTGAACATATTCTTAAACACGTGCTCTTTTAATTAAATAACTTCGCATAAACTTTGTTGAAGGGATTTTCTGACCATATATAAGATACACGGGACATTTTATTTAGTCTAATTTAGTTTAATTAATACTCAGGGTTCAAGATTAGGCCCATTATTATCTGATCTTAGGAGACTGCATGGGGTTCAGATTTCAGTTCTTGTCACGTCTCGCTCTGTGTCCAATTTTTTTTTTGTTTTTGGGAAAAAACGAGGTGGGTGAGGGGTGACTGGTTAAGCTTATCTTTCTAATCAAATATCTTTACGATGTTGTCACTGGAACTACCCACACATATGTGTTTGTTTGTTGTCCAACGTTACTACTTAATTACGTCTATGACTGTATTGTGATGTCACGTGGTGGTGTCTGTGTGTTTTTTTTTTTTTTTGGGGTTTGCTATCAACCCAAAAACAAACACACGCAAAGAGAGAAAGGAAGGGAGGGAAGTGGGCGGCTCATCAATATCATGGCTCTGCATATAAGAAATCTTTAAAGACGTGAATACAATGCAAGCAGAGAATATAAGGGAAATATACACACACACACACACACACACATAGCTTTTGTTTTTGTTTTTGGGTTGACGATAAAGTTGACGATAATTATGTTGTTATACGGATTGTTCATTGGAAAATACAAGGGAGGGGTTGGTTAAGGGATAAAAATTTATATATTCCCTTATTTCTATTTAAAAACTTTAATTTGGGCTTGTCCTAACATTTGATGCATTTTTTCAATTTGATCCTTAATTATTTGAAAAGTTTAAATATCATTTGGAATTCATATGAAGTGACTCCTCAAGCAGTCAAGATGGAATGACTCATTCAGTTTCATCTCAAAATTCAAAATAACTCATCTTTTTGGGGGAACCACTATTGGCATTGCGAATTATGGATCAGCACGTGCCATTTTTCTAAATCTTTCTGTGTTTTGCTTCCACCACATGATGGGACCATGGGCCTGGATATCGGACAAGATTCCTATTCACAATGAATAATTCAAAGCCCAGAAAACAAACACAGAATCGATACTCTTATCAAGGTCCACCCACTTATGTCGGGCAATGTTGAATGACTTCGTTAAGGCCTCTATCAGCTTAAAGTTCGCGGGTTGCTTATTTATTCCGCATTCCGGATCGGCCGGTAGTTGAGTGACAACTAATATGTGATACTACTACCTCCGGTCCTAATTATAAAAACTAGTTAACTAATTTAAAGAGATTAAGGAAGTAAGTTAAGTTAGTTGTTTATCTAAAATAGGTGTTGTCTTTTCTAAAATATCCTTACTAATCAAATGTATTGACTAAAATTATCATTATTAGAAGGATTACTTTGAAAAAAAATGTATAAATATGAAAGATAAAATGAATTAGAGTCTTATATTTAGAACCAAAATAAAAGTCAAATAGGATCTTACATTAAGGAACGGAAGTAGTACTTTATAGCATTAACTGACAAAACATTCAAATAAAGCTTTTTGAAGTAAAATTTACTCCCTCCCCAATCCCAAATATAAGAAAAGCTAATTAGAATTTCAAAGATGAAATTTAGTCCTAAATATAGAGCCATTATCTTTCGCATCTATATTTGTTTCCCAAATTAATTTACCTAAAGTAATTATACAGGAATATTTTAGTCAAATTATGTCAAATTTGTAATAATTATTAATCTATCAAACTAGTAAAAAAAATTACATTACTATTACTATCTCCAACTATAAAGCTATGAGCCATCCAATGTTCTTAAATCTGTGGCTCACTTTCAATTTTGGTAAAAGGGCCACGATCTTTTTTAATTTTTTGGGGCGGCGGCCGGTGATATGGAATAAGAACCTTCTAAAATTTTTTTAAATATAATATAAATAGAAAATAACAGAATACACCACATGGCACATGCGCGCGCGCGCACATATATTTTTGGCCAAATGGCACATGCATATTTAGAACTTCACTTTATCTCACTGAATTATAAATAAGAATTTTATTGTAAAAAGATCTAAATTCAAATAGAGATTTGACTTTGTAGCCTACCCATGACAGAGGTGGAAGCTAATCGTGTTTTTCAGATATATTGAGATATGTTAAATGGTAATGCTTGTAATAAAACAGAAATAGTTCACTTGCTAGCTGATATGACCAAACTAAGGAAACAGTAATGCATCTACAATAGATATAAAGCATCTGCTCATACCATGGCCTACTCAAAATTTTCAATCTCACAAGTTAGGTTTGACATTAATAAGGATGTAATAACTTGATGAAAAAAGGTTTACGTCGGCTTGCTGTAAAGATGGACAACAGTGAAGACGAAGAAACCTGCCATCTGTAACACAGTATCCAAATTATATGTTACATAAAAACCATTGAGAAAATCTATAAGATTCATTAGAAAACAGATCACCAATTGATATGGTCACAATCACAAAACTTCAACCCGCAATAGCAACCCCATAATGTACTATAAAATCAAGCTCCATGAGAGAGAGAGAGAGAGATACTCACCATTGAAAATGCTGCTCCATAATAGGGATAAGCTGCCGGTATAAATCTTTCGTATTCATTGTGTCTGAAGGGACGGACAGGAATCTGCCCACAAAATTCAAAGATGAATCCCATGTTTCATTCAGTAATCTCAACAATATCGAACGTACATTATGGCTACAAACAGTAGCCATGGCAACACATTCAACAACCAGACATTTATCAGAAGACTCAGTTTTCACCTATCCTATTGAATACTAGAAAAATCATGGATAACTCTCATCCTAGCACTCAAATTTCTTGAGAAGGAACTCCAATAGTGATCAATCGGTCAACATATTGTCATGCAAGGGACGTAGGTCCACCTGCTCCTCCCTGTAAGCATAGCCTTCACAAATACAGCTAATATTTTGATTCTAATGAATGATGACAATAAACGTTAGTAATTTCACAACTAAAGCTTGCAAATGGCTAGGGTCAATTTGATCTTGTAACGAATTTCTCTTCAGCTATTGATATGACTGGTTTAACTGATCCAGTCCTTACTAAACAAAACATCCACCGTTAACTATAACATAGCTAGGTATCCAAGACGTCAACATATATGAAGATATAGATTTAGTTCTTGACAATTAAGATTCAGAGGTTCAATTACCTGCTTTGATAGAGATAAGCTTGTATATCCAAGTCTTTGGTACTCAACTTTGAATTGGAAAACCCCGTAGACATCTGGAACTTTAAATGATGTGAAATAACGACCCTGAAAGAATAATAATAGAGTATTGCATTCAAAGTTTCATTACAGAAGAATACAACA